CATCACATACTTTTTATCTCCAACCCAACTAATGTGCTAGTAATAGTAACAACCTTAATTTTTTATGAATTATAAAGTCTCCATAGTAACGCTTCCAAGTTCTTACCCTGCATGTCTGAAGTGGTTACAAATTGGCATTACAGAGCAAATGTAAATATTGTGCCATGATTGCTTAAATAACCAGGTGAGCGATACAGGCCCCCTTGGCCTCTTGTTTGCATTTATAGTGACATTGTGATAAATGTGCTTGTTTTGGAATTTTTATTTGGTGCTTTGGTAGAATTTCTTAAAATTATGGACTTTTCATTATCAGAGCTTTTTATGGACTTTCCAATATTTCACCTTTAGTAAGTTAACGTCACGCTACCACAATTGGTACACTACCCAAATTGGTACACGGTCAGAAAATTGTTCGAATAGTACTTTAAAATTAAATTTGAGCATTTTCCTTTGACAGTATAACAAAATAGATATTTATCAGCATTTCTGCCGAATAGTTTTGTTTTCAGGAACATTTTAAGAGTTCACGATGACTTCAAAGTAAACATATCAGAAAACCAGTAAAAACGACGTAAGTCGACGAAATTTTGGAGGATTTTCAAGGGGTTAAATATAAGCATGTTTAAATGTTGATTTCTGGTCCTTATATTCGGATAATATAAAAGTGAATATATACAATTATAGTTCAGTATGGTATCTATAAAAGCAATGTATTTTGTTGTAATTGGCACATCAACTTGTAGAAATAAAAACAATTTCCATTGCCTGTGATATGGTGTACCAATTTGGGTACTATTTACGGCCGAAAAACGGACGAAATCTCACTCCGAGTTTAGCGTTCTATTTTCAAAAATAAATTACTTAGATATAAATCTTTTCCTGAAAATGAACCACCATAGGTAGTCTTTGTCAAGAATCAAGAAACATTCCAGATACAAGATCTGAATTTTTAAAGATCACTAAAAAACTGTCAAAATTGTACCAATTGTGGTAGCGTGACGTTAGTGCTATTATATTAGTTTTATATCATGTATCTTTGTGCATGTGTGCATTTTATGAATATGATTGATTTGATCAACCAGTGATAAGTATTCCATGTGTACATGTAATTAATTTTGTTTTATTTATTTTTATCCCAGCTTTGCATCTGTTTTTGCATATTTAATAATGTAATACATGATCTCTGTCTTTACTGATTATATTTGTCATAAATTGCTTGCTAAATTTAGTTCTCTATTTTATGAAATATATATATAACATACAGGTAAATGTATAGTAAAAATGTATAAAATTAATTTTATGAAATTAATAAAAGCAGGTTTTCAGTTAACGTATTTTGATGTGTTTTTATTAAGTAATAACTGGAATCTTGTATATATTTATTCATAATTCCAGTAAATTTTACGAAAATCAGGAAATATATTTGTTAAATATTCCTATAACTAACACAGTATTTCCTATTGCTGAACAGGTAAATACAGGTCAATAATCTACCTGTACTATACCAGAACAGACTATAATGACACCTCTATTATTTTCTAGTGTTTATATAATTCCTTTGATCAGAAAAAAGTGGGAGAAATGAGAACAAACCGCTATTATATATTGTGTTGACGCTATGATAAACTATACTTTATATGTTGACGCTATAATGTATTGTGTTAACGCTATGATGAAGTATAATTTTACATGTTGGCGCTATGATATATTGTGTTAACGCTATGATAAAGTATAATTTTATATGTTGAAGCTATGATATATTGTGTTAACGCTATGATAAAGTATAATTTTATATATTGACGCTATGATATATATGCAAGACCACACACTTGTGTTTTTCTAACGAATGAGAAACCACGACTTTATTGGGAGGACGAATATATTCACGAGTGCGCGTAGCGCACGAGTGCATATACATACGTCCGCCCAATAAACTCGTACTTTCTAAATTCGTTAGAAAAACACAAATGTGTGGTCTTGCTTTTATCGCATACCTTCTGTATTTGGTAGAGATCGATACAAAGATTTTATAAACTTTGATATTTTTTCAAATATCGGGAACTTTTCAGTTCGCCATGACAAGGGGATTCCCATAAAAAGTAGTTCCGGCTAGTAGGTAAATACAAAATTCCGTATTGCACATGTGCAATACAGAACGTTTGATTTCATGGTCTGAAAATTGCTTGAATTACTATAACAAGATTTAACAGGTATGTGATAAATTGTGTTAACGCTATGATAAACTATAATTGATATATTATGAACTTATGTTGACGTTACGGTGTATTTTTATTGTGTATACAGTTTTCGTCAGAGCATTATTTTCACGTCGTTTTTGTGTCGCCTGCGAAAAGCTGGTGACACATAGGTATTGCTATGTCGGCGTCGGCGTCGGCGGCGTCGTCCACACAGAGGTTTTCGCGGAATAACTTGAGTTTCCTTGGGCCGATCAAACTCAAACTTCATACAGTGCTTCTTTACTAAAAGTGCTTGCTTGGGATTGCTTTTCAGATCCGAAGGTCAAAGGTCAAGGTCACTGTTCCTATATATAGAAAATCTGTTTTCGTGGAATAACTTGAGTTTCCTTGGGTTGATCAAGCTCAAACTTCATGCAGTGCTTCCTTACCAAAAGTTCTTGCTTGTGCTTGCTTTTCAGGTCCGAAGGTCGAAGGTCAAGGCCACTGTTACTATAAAAAAAATCTGTTTTCGTGCGATAACTTGAATATCCCAGGGCCGATCAAACTCACACTTTATGCAGTGCTTCTTTACAAAAAGTGTTTGATTGGGATTGATTTTCATGTCCGAAGGTCCCAGGTCAAGGCCACTGTTACTACAAATAGAAAGTCTGTTTCGTGCGATAACTTGAGTTTCCTTGGACCGATCAAACTCAAACTCCATGCAGTGCTTTCTTACCAAAAGTGCTTGCTTGGGATTGCTTTTCAGATCCGAAGGTCAAAGGACAAGGTCACTGTTCCTATATATAGAAAATCTGTTTTCGTGGAATAACTTGAGTTTCCTTGGGTTGATCAACCTCAAACTTCATGCAGTGCTTCCTTACCAACAGTGCTTGCTTGTGCTTGCTTTTCAGGTCCGAAGGTCGAAGGTCAAGGCCACTGTTACTATAAAAAAAATCTGGTTTCGTGCGATAACTTGAATATCCCAGGGCCGATCAAACTCACACTTTATGCAGTGCTTCTTTACAAAAAGTGTTTGATTGGGATTGATTTTCATGTCCGAAGGTCAAAGGTCAAGGTCACTGTTCCTATATATAGAAAATCTGTTTTCGTGGAATAACTTGAGTTTCCTTGGGTTGATCAAACTCAAACTTCATGCAGTGCTTCCTGACCAAAAGTGCTTGCTTGGGATTGCTAAAAACATAATCTATGATTATTGCTTACTTTTAACATTATTTCTTGAAATGAAAAGTGTATCTATTTCTTCGTAATCTCCAAGCTTCCTGAGCAGGCGACACATCCACTTCTGTGGAATTCTTGTTTGTTAATATAACTCTTGCGTAAAACGTCTAATGCGTAGCTTGTGTTCAGAGTGTTGTAATTAGTGATCCATCTAAGGTGAATCTATATACAAATACAGCAATTATAAAAAAAAACAAAAAAAACTCATAATTATATTTTCAAACATCCCATTCAACATATAAACATGCTATATAAAATACAATACATTTTCTTATTTTCCTTATCTTTGTATATTCATACAAACTTTTTTGAAAAAAACAGTTTTTGCTTTGATATAGATAAAACCTCAACAAAAAGAATTGATCATTGCAAAGTCAAACATTTCACATAGAGATAACATCCAAACATCAAATATATAACAGCACAACATGAAAAAAACACCATAATCACACAATACAGATACAATGCATATAGTAACACCAAAACAAATACACCAATATGAAGTAAACGTAAAGACTGATTTATATATTTATAATATAAAAAATTAGATAAACAATGGCACAAATAATAAATCATCACGGATATCTAGTAACGCTATAAAGAAAACACATATGTTATTTCACAACAACAATACAGATATGTAGTTACAAAACAAATACAATAATAGTGAATCAATTAATCAATCAATATCTTATCTCAATATCACGCATCACAACACATGTAACAAATACAGATAAAAATATACATTACTTGTAAAAGGCATTAGTAAAAATACGTCTTCATGGTTAAAACCGTTGTAACGCCAACCGTTTTAGGCTTATGAGACATGTTATAATTATCTACATAGTAACAAGCCACAAAGAACAGAACAAATATAAAAAACAAAGATAAAACCAAAGCATACATCATTTAATACAGCGCCCTGTCTAGATAGAGTTTACCACTCTAACACGCTTTATCGTGTGGAGATACAGGTTAGTATTTATACAATAAATTAACTTTTTGTAGTAACGTATCAACCAGGGCAATGTTTTGAGTAATTCACGGTCATTAACTACTAGCCCTGACACATGACTAATATCTCCACATCCGCGTATGCATGCATGTGTGCTGGGTATTATAGTTTTCTATTCTGCCGTTAGGTCGTGTTTCTAACGATATTCACTTTGTCTACAAAGTGTGTTAGCAAAGAAACTGCAACCCCCAACCAAGCCCATTCGACACTCAACCTCGTTTGAAGAAGTTGTGTTGACACAGTCAATGCTAGGACGACTTCCGGATGGAACTGCGGCCAGTTAAACAACACAAATATACAGTGGCATAATGGATTAAATAACAAGCATTTGAAATAGGACCGTAGGAGTTTTGAATTGTTTATCTTATACTATTGTCTTTCGTTTGATATTGATCGGCATACATATGTTATGTCCCATTTAGATGAAATGTAAGCTTACAAACACAACATATGCTATATATTTTCAGTGCCTCTTGTTTTTGATCTACCTCATTGCCTTGCGTAGTAAGCGGACTGTAAAAGGACGACACGCCCTGTGTTGAAATTCACGTCATAGATACGACATGTACCGAGGCCTTCCGAGATTTCCTCAAGGCTGAACGACTTACACGTGTCGTCCATCATACACCTAGAACCGCACTGGAATATACTGCAATCCGGGTACATGGCGACGTAGGCTCGGAGGTTAGGATCAGGCACGAGATCCGCCGTCATCAAATAATTCTTAACTGTGATTTCGTTTCCGATGTTTCTGGCAGTATTGAAATAAAGAGGAGGTGGCTGGGGCGACGGGGTGGTGGAAATCGTTGAAGGACATGTTTGTGAATTTAGAACTGCGGTCAACTCCGCTGAAAATGAACACAAACACAGAATACAAAACAATGTTGTTCTGATGGGAAATACTAGATATATTCATTGTTCCTATAGGTAATGTTGTTCTGATAGGAAATACTAGATATATTCAATGTTGTTCGTGAATGTCGTGATAGTCGTTAAATGTGTCAGGCAGATATTTCCTGGTATTTTTTAACATTCCTTTGTTCCCTTCTGTCAAAGAAAGAACTTTTAATCAAATAATTGACACGTTTTACTATATCATGCGGCCATGTTAAAAATATGGTATTAAACACGTGTGATAAAACCTGAAGGTACTGCGACTGGTCAAAACCGTGAGAACATATTCCTACGCCACGACAGGTACTACTTCTATTTCCTGTATTATATGGTACATTTACTGTGATTTTAAATTAATGACAACATTTAAAATTTTAATCATTATTTTAATTATACATAGCTGTTACTTAAATATATAAATATATGTCTGTAACGAATTTGCACTGCGCGGAACGACAAAACTATGATCGGAGTATTTCAGTGTTTACCTATATAGAGTCGTTATTTTTCAAATTATAAATGTTATGTGATGAATAGAGGATATAACATGAGTGTCCATGTCATATTGAATTTATTAAACGCGTTCAATACATAAAATATAACATGGACACTCATTAAAATCCTCTATTTATCACATATCCCCCTCCTCTGCATATGAAAGATTAATAAAATCTATAACCTATAAGTTTACGTCTCGGTTGGGATTTTGTTACAGAATAATACCCCTCGACTGAGATAACCCGATCTTGCTCAGTTACAGGTAAAATAAATGATTTTGTCTAGAAAAGCACTGTCAACTGTATATTCATTAGCAGACAAGAAGTTTACTTTTAGATACAACATGGAAACTTAGAATACTGAATACTGAAACTTTAGGAGAGGGCTTAATTAAGTTGTAAGAACTTGTGCCCAATCCTTTTTGTCATTTTCAAGGCAATAAAAATATGTTTAAATAAATACTGAAAATTTGGTAGTAATAAAACAATTCTTATACTTTTCGTTTTAAAGCTTGTTATAAGGACATGTTTGGAGGACGACGTGATTCACTAGCAGCACGCGGTACATCCTGTCTGATACATTTTGAACAAAATAAGGGTTTATAATACATTCTGCTGGTGACGTTATCAGATTAAATCTTTGACGGCAGTTATTAAGAAATTTAGACCACGAACGTTCCTACTGTATGAAACAAATAAGGCAGCCCATGTACACAGTACACATGTACGGTAAACGCTGTCATACTTACGGGTTGAGGCATGGCAGATGTATGTGCTTTCTTGGCACGCTTGATCAACTTTGCTTAAATCTGGATCGCCAAGCTTCTTTTCGAACAGTGACAGGCAGGTGATGGAACCGACGAAGTAAGGAAACGCAGCATTAAAGCATCCTCCCACCCGTAGAGATCCAGGTGTGTTAAATAATTGGTGTGTTTGCCATCCAGATATTTCCTTTTTACCAACATCAAGTACGTTGACAGATAATTTCCCTTGGCTGACATCCAACGCCACAGAAAACAGATGCCAGTGTTTATCAGCTACCATGTCATCAAAGGTCAATTGCTCCGTCACACCCCCGCCTAGGATGCGAGAGATGACCAAGTCGTCATCGGATATAGCAATCCTCATCGAGGTTAGCCCGGAACTCCCACCATTACTTTGGTACTCTAGCAAGCACTTGTTGTCATTATTGCTATTCTTCGTTTTCATGTAAAATGTAAAAGTGTAGTCATCTCGGTCACCAAAGTTGTGAGTTCCCACATTGATATCAACAAAGGTTGTGCCATTCAAAGAGAGCGTGTTTATGTTGTTATACAGGGGGTCCCCATAGACGAGACCGGGCTGGGACGAGTTTTGTGGCACACCTTCCATTGTCTCATACACTGCGGCAAGCTCGTGTAGAGGCCAGTTGAAAATAGGAAAGTTCTGTTTTAATCCAAAAGCAACTCGGTACAACCCTGTAAAGTACAATCACTATACGTGAACTTCATTTATTGGAAAATATTGAATTTATGTGTAAAGTAAATAGGGCATCCTACAAATGTTGTACATGAAATACCAAAAAAAAAAATATATATGTTGAATATGCCCCAGTTTTACATTCCACCATAATATACAAATATAGGTACGTGTTATTTTCTATTTACACCTACATAGTGGCATTACGGTCGACTATTATAGCAACTGTTTTAATCAATACAATTTATTTCAGTACTTTATTTTAATTAAATGTAATTTCATTGTTTTAGTCGGATACTCCTTGGCTTTGGTAACACTTCGTCTACTTGGTAACCACTATCGGCTCTTTACGTCAGTGAAGTCTTATTTGTCGATTGGATGGCCTTTACGTCATTAAGGCCCTATTTGCCGATTGGATGGCTTTTACCGGCCATGGTTACGCTCATATATTGTATCTCGAAATAAAATAAACGGAACCAATATAATTCAAAACCTGTAAAATTTGTATAAAGTGGATATTTATCTATATCTATTTATTTACTTTTTTGTTACATTTCTCTTTCATTTATATTTTATGTAGTTCACACAGGCAACATTTCTTAACATTGAAGAAATTGTGTGTGTGCGGTATTCTGAACACATGTTTTTCATCTTTTGAAAGAAACAAAACCAGCTTCAAACAAACTGAGTTATCAATGGAATCCGTGTATCACCTATATACAAATATATTACGCTCGCACACAAGGAAACACAGACCCGTATGTTAGGTTGGATGTTAAATGTGAGCATTACCACGTGGCGTTAAATAGAACACTAAATTCTTTGATTTTCTAATAAATGATTCGAATCCGACACTCAATATTTTAACGATATATTATATTATAACAATACATTTTACTTATTTTACAACAGTTGTGAAACAAGGCCTATTTACACTATCTGGTTCAGACGAGTTATATTGTATCATTAAAAAGGGCTTAAATTCAGTTTTATTTTAAAGAATTAGCTGTTTAAACAATAACAGACCATATTCGGTTTGTATCCCTTTATGAGTTGGATCAGGCCACGTGTGATTATCCATGTATGATTACATATTTTGTTTTATGTTTAAACTTATTACATCAACTTCAAATTTTAAAATTTATAAATTAAGAGGTTTTACTAGTGATGACAGGTGCGATCAACTGTGTGAGTTACGTAAACCATTTTAGTAACTCCTGAGTCCTTACAACGGGGATCAACACACGAGCACTTAACATTAGAATGGTAACTCCTGAGTCCTTACAACGGGGATTAATACACGAGCATTTAACACTAGAATGGTAACTCCTGAGTCCTTACAACGGGGGTAAAAACACGATCACTTAACATTAGAATTGTAACTCCTGAGTCCTTACAACGGGGAAAGAAACACAAGCACTTAACATTAGAATGGTAACTCCTGCGTCCTTACAACGGGGGTAAAAACAGGAGCACTTAACATTAGAATGGTAACTCCTGAGTCCTTACAACGGGGAAAGAAACACAAGCACTTAACATTAGAATGGTAACTCCTGCGTCCTTACAACGGGGGTAAAAACAGGAGCACTTAACATTAGAATGGTAACTCTTGAGTCCTTACAACGGGGGTAAAAACACGAGCACTTAACATTAGAATGGTAACTCCTGAGTCCTTACAACGGGGATAGAAACAAGAGCACTTAACATTAGAATGGTAACTCCTGCGTCCTTACAACGGGGGTAAAAACACGAGCGCTTAACATTAGAATGGTAGCTCCTGAGTCCTTACAACGGGGGTAAAAACAGGAGCACTTAACATTAGAATGGTAACTCCTGAGTCCTTACAACGGGAATAGAAAAACGAGCACTTAACATAAGAATGGTAACTCCCGAGTCCTTCCAACGGGGATAGAAACACGAGCACTGAACATAAGAATGGTAACTCCCGAGTCCTTACAACGGGGAGAGAAACACGAGCACTTAACATTAGAACGGTAACTCATGAGTCCTTACAACGGGGATAGAAACAAGAGCACTTAACATTAGAATGGTAACTACCGAGCACATACAACGGGGATAGAAACAAGAGCACTTAACATTAGAATGGTAACTCCCGAGTCCTTACAACGGGGATAGAAACACGAGCACTTAACATTAGAACGGTAGCTCATGAGTCCTTACAACGGGGATAGAAACACGAGCACTTAACATTAGAATGGTAACTCCTGAGTCCTTACAACGGGAATAGAAACACGAGCACTTAACATTAGAATGGTAACCAGTTATACACGTAGACTATACACGTGTGAAACAGTGTAATATTTTAAATTTCATTTTTTCTTCTAATTAAGAACTGATTGAGCATAGTACCTGAGTTAAAGTGTGATAACTGTTAAATGCGCCTTGTGGCCAGCGTATACATAATTACTTATGATCCAAAGAAGATAACACAATAATAACATCTACCCAATAGTATGTAATGGAATCAAATCATTATTCTTGTCAATCATTCTCCGTTGACCCTTTTATAATATATTCGGTCATATTAAAAGATTCGTGTGCTTTTTTTAAATCTCATTACTATTTATGACAATAGAATATGTTAAAAAAAAAAATCAAAAGAAGATAAATCAAAAAAGAAACTGTTGTTTGGAATCGGATTCAATAATCTATCATCTTTCTTTTTACAAATGAAATGTTGTTTTACAACGGTTTCTGTACATACGAATTCTGCTCGATTCGTGTAAATTGGGGAGCTTAAAAAGGGTCGGGAATAGAAATTCATCACTGTGTTACAAGTCAGTATTTGGGTTATACTCACAAAGAAGTGAAATAGGCGTCAGTGACAGTTTCGTGATCCACATGTCCATGACTCGATACTCATACAATACTGTCACACTTTACGGCTGCAGTCTGTTTGTCTGAAACACTGTATCACCAGGTGGATGGGAATCGTACCACGGCCTTAACCGTGTTTCACTGATATTATAATGGACCAATAATATATCTTTTAATAACTATTCTAATAAAAATAGAACATTCAACAGTAACAACATCGGAGTTTTCATTTGATAATAAGTTTGTGTATTCGCGACAGTATATGTCGATTTTTCTCACTCACCTATTGGAACAATATGAGATATATTGTTGACAATCAAAACATATTCTCGCCATGATATAGATTAATTTTCAGTAGAGAAATAGAATATACAGGAAATGTGACAATGTCTATCCATTAGCTATGTGTACTCTGCTCTACATCCTTACTGTGATTAAATTATGTATTTTAGGCAGCGTATAAGTTCATTTTGTACCTGGATACTCCAATAGCTAAAACTGGTCCAGCAAACACATAGATTATAGAATATATTTCAGTCTTACTTTAGTGATACAGCCACTTTGGTTTTGGAGGGAGGGGGGGGGGGGGGCATGTAGCACAATGTTCCTTATGACCGGTGTATTTACCTGAGAAATTCTAACTTTCTATTGGATTGGACTTATTGGTTGGTATCTACTGATTATTTCGATGAATTATAACAGAAATGACTAATCAACATTTTAATCCCATTTTACACTTTGGTGAAGTGGCGTTATTATTCCGTTCTTTGCTTCGTTTTGTATGTATCGTCGTAAGAGGTGACTAATGTGTAACCCCCCTGCAAAGTTGAGGATTTGCTTTCGAGTCCTCTATTTGGGGACACAAAAGCGACCAAAATAAAGCTGCTGTACCCATTGCAATATTTGGAATCTTTATCTTTCTAATTCTAACGACCTTCAATTTCCTAGCGCCTTGCTTGGCAACACTTCACTTTTGGCTTCAATGTTGAGCGTTCGCCCAGGTGAGGAAGGCAATGGGTTCTGTCCCCAGGCCTGGATATACCAAAGTTTTTTCACACGGTTGTTGTTATTCCCTGCTTAATATTCAGCATTTAGGGAAATGGCAACAACTGGTTCACCCGTTGTCAGTATAATGTGACCGGGTGAAACGCTGTGTTGGGTGCGTTCGGCATGGCATTTCAGTGGTGTAGCACTATAAAGTCGGCATCAGATCAGCGCTAGCGCACCTACATACCTGGACTCCTGCTCACACATACACAAGCATTACACACATGCAGGCACGTCCTTTTAATAGGACGTTAAACAAAACTAAAACCATAAACCAACACCGTATGCCATTATTGTTGTTGTTCATATTTGGGCAAAGACTATTGACCATAGATAGGAAATAATATTTAGTAATGCTTTAATATGATATAAAAAGCGCATAGAAAACAACAGAGGGTATTATTATGTAATAAAAACGTCCATTGCCCCACTAAACACATGATTGTGAACGCTCTGCTCACTCATGTATGTATTCGTTTGCTTTAAACACGTGCATGCTATAAACGATATCAGATATATACATTGGTTTGGCTTACTTTCATCTCGTTTAATTACTATGCATGTTAACTACCTGAAGCGAGACATACGTCACAATCACATGATTCCGGTATCAATCAAAATTCATCTAATGTGAAACAATTGTCTTCTAAACGATTAAAGATGAGAATACCGAAGTATTAACAAAACCGTAATCAACTCAAAATCGCCCAAATTAGAGCTAAATAAGAACAAAGATCCATTAACATAAATACCCTTGAATAAAGAGCAGGGCCTGTATTCGTGAAACCGTTCTCATGCTCAGGCATGAATTTTGTGCTCAAAACAACTTTCTTGTAACTCAATTAAATCATGTCAAACGATCAAAATGTCAAATGTAGACATTAAAAAAAAGTATTCGGCTTTTGGTCTTTTTAATATATTCCCAAATCATTGCCAAAATAATATTTAATTATTAATTGATAACGGGAACAAGAAATTCGGCTCGAATACAAAATCCATGCTTGAGCATGAGAACTGTTTCATGAATACGGGCCCAGGTGTTCTGGAACGGCAAGTGTCTCTGCTTCATCGACGACACCCGCCAAGCACATCAAGATCAAATCTAAGACTTGCCCCTGTGTTCATAGCAAGAACCAGAAAAGCGACAAAAATCAATATGGCACTTTAATTAGCGTTTGTTTCGCTGAAAAGTTTAACAACATGTATATATAAGATTCAAAATAATGCACAGATATGCGAACATCATTCAATGCTGTCTTTGAAAATTGAAAATAATGAAGAAAACTACACCATATTTATCAGTACAGTAATATAGCTACAGAAGACAGAGTTATCCTAAAAATCAAATAAAGAAAAGAGTGGTCGATGTGAACGTATAATGGCCTGTCATGGGGTATCATCAACTGGTCTAAAAGCACAAAGTGATACTCCCCAAATTGACTTGTAGCCTAAATGAGGAATATGTTTCGTACAGACTTGCAGGGAAAAGGGTCAGTGCCTGATATGATAAAACTATGGTGTAATTGACATTTGATTTCAATGGAAACCT